ACGCTTCCAAGGAACGGTGACTGACGAAGATCTCAAAGACTTTTTGCGCGACAATGGGTATGATGTTGATGGTCACAGCCACCTACTTCCGAACTTCTCAGACTTCCATGCTCTCCTTGCTCTTTATCGAGAAGTAAAGAATGTGGCTGACGATGTTGCAAAATGGGATTTGCTCGCAGTATTCTTAAGGGACATACCAGGATATTAGGACTTTGTAGTTGATACTGTACTCGTGTGTCAAGTGGGACTTGATCTGATTGGTATGAGCGGTTTGCAAACTCGCATTGACGCTGACCTTGGGCATTATCTTGACCACGAAAATATCCAGGCCTTGAAGAGAGCGTCTGCTACCCAGTCCAATCCCAACAACAAAGACATTCTTATGGTTTCATATTTGGCCTCACGTCTCTCAGACACGAAGTCTATCATTGGAAACCCAATGGCTTTGGGATCTTTTCTCCATCGTTTGATGGAAGGAGTCAACCGCGTGTTTGTAAGGCGGGTGAACGAGGATCGCCTTGTAATGCTGATGGCTCACGAATAAAATATGGCTAGAGTCTGCCGAGGCCGCAGGGTTTTACTATGGCCAGACATGGAAGCAGTCATCGCCCTGCAAGAGATACCGATCTTCTCTTCCGAGCGCCCCTCGACAACACAGCAGTGCGATATACGCCTGTGGCTTGCGCAAGGATTAAGACTGGACGAAATCAAAGCCGAGCCCAATTTAGGGAAACGCGCAAAGATCGTAGATCGACGGAAGCTTGCACTGAGCATCCTACCAGAGCCGAAAGAAGAAGGCAACTTCGTGCCAGAGCAGTTGACACGGCTGAGGCAAGCGTATTCCGCGAAATGCAATACTCCGGGCTGGCGTCGTGAGCTGGTTACTCCAGAGCTCCTACGTCATTTTTTTGACGTTGGTATGATGAGGACGCAATCTTCACAACTGCAACCGGGGAAATTTCAGTTTGAAAGCCAAGTGGCAGGCGAGGCTCGTAATTCTGTCGACCTGTCGTATATCAAGCATCTAAGTGGGCTCGAGCAGAAGGTCCAAGCCGAGGTTTTCGACGCTTTTCTTCGATTTCATCGGCGTCGGAGAAAATGTCCACAAACGATTCAGCAAGGTAATCATCGAGGGAATGGACCAAAGCAGGGAATTGCTCGTCAGCGCCGATGGAAAGTTATCCCATGACTTGCAAACAATGTATGACGGCGACGAGTACATTACAAGCACTGCGGTCACGTCATGGCTTGACTTCTCCAAGTATGTTTATACCATCCTCCCAACAGTTCACCTGTTGAATCACTAACAATAAGACAACAGGAAGGTTGGCGTGAAGATTCCCAACTCTCTCCAACTTCAAAGGTAAGAAGAAGGGCTCGGGCAAAGATGCGCTGGCCCAAAATAAAGGTCCATGCGGTATCGGGTCAAACAAAACCTGCCGTATCTCGTAAAGCGGTACATCGTCAGAACGTGGAAAGACAGAGAACCATCAACGTTTGACACCACAGTCTTTGAGCCATATGCAGCGTCAATGAGCTGAGGGGGCTGTATCAAGCGATGACTAGGGGTCGCGCTGAAAAGGGGGAATGTGAAAATGTATCGCTGAATTAGGAATCTGCGCGTCTTCTGTTGCACCGACTAAATGCTATGATATTCACATGGACATTCTCCCGGTCCCCAATCAAGACTTGACCTTCTTTAACGTCACACCGAATGGTCTGGGCGAGATGCTTTGAGAGGCCCCATCCTCTCCAATAGTGACGATGTAGTCATCAAAGGCAAGATAGTTGTACGTGTTGCGGTCGATCAACCCCCAAGTTTGGCATCCACCCTGGGGAAAGAAGAGTTGATCATCAACTTCTTCTTCGTCATGATTCTTATAGACGGCACGCCAAGACCATGTGTCTCCTTCCTTGATGTTAGTCGGATAGATCCTGGCAGTAATGTTGAAGGTCTTTCCGGGCTTGATCGAAGTGCTGTAATTGGGAATGTTGGGTAGGACGGGAACCCCGCGAACTTTGAGGCCAGTCAGCGACAGACCAGGTCCATCGTCAACTGACAAAGTGACAGTCGAGTTCGTCTCAGGGTCGGCGTAGGTTCCAGCAAAGGCTGCTTCTGCGGCTTCTTTGTTTGCTTGCTCGAGAGCAGGAATCAGTGCAGAAATAACTCCAGAAATAACTCTGGAGGGAAACATGAATTCCGTGGAGGCGGGACCGCCAGTGAGAATAGAAACCGTGAGGTCATAATCAGGAATCAGGAGGAGAAGATTGGAGTAGAGACCGAGGTCACCGGATTTGGTGTAGATGTGAACAGGAACTCCGGTGGGAAGGAGAGTCGTGGAGGACAGAATCTCCCAGGGGGCGCCGATAGAATAACCGGAGGAGGTCGTGAAGGACTTAGGCTTCAGCCAGGACTTAGAGTCTATGGAGAGCTTCTCAGAAAGTATGGCAGTGCCGAAGTTGAGCATGTCGCGGGTGTTGGTGTAGATGCCGCCGGCGCTGGTGTAGACACCGAGATCTCCTTTCCATGTGGGTTCCCCTTTGGGAATAAAACCCCATGAATCTTGGACTGGGCCAGTCACGGAGGTGTTGGTTAGACCAAGCGGCTTGAGTATGGTCTCGTTAAGGATAACATCATATGTCTTGTTCGTGGCGGCCTCCACCACAAGACTTAGAAGAGAGATGCCGAGGTTGGAGTAGATGGGCGTAGTGTGCGGTCGGAAGACGAGCGGCTTTTTGTTCAAGCCAGAAATTAGATCTAAAGGACATTAGAAAAGCGTAGAAAGGCGCAGGCCGAAGGATCTTGCATACCTCCTGCGGTGCAGGCTTTTGTACCCTCAAGTCCTGAGCATTTGGGTCGCGTCTCATTTGCAATCGCTGGGAGACCCATCAGCTTCCAAGGGTAAGCTGCGAAGTTGGCGAGATCCGTAGCGACTAGAACTGTCAGCATAGGATGGCGGCAGAATGGAAAGACTCAGATACTCACTGTCGCCGCCAATGCCAGACAAATGAGATGCAAGGTCCTCGACTGTAATGGTATCCCACGGAATAACATTGAAAGAGCTGTTCTCCGGTGCTTTGACCGTTCCTTCCTTGAGTTGTGGTAGATACTTAGTGACGGGATCGCTGCCTTTGATGTGGGAGTCCTGGAGGGCGGTCAAGACAGTGAAAAGCTTCGTAATACTACCGCCGCGAAACACTGTGTCAATGGTAACCTCCTTGGTGCCAGTAGCCTCTGCTATTGCGGGCGTATGGTAGAATTCGAATAGCGGGCTATCGTCGTGGACAGACTTTACGCCGATGGCAATGCCGGTGCTATTGAGCTCATCGGAGGATGTGAGATTGACAAGATTCTGCTTGATCTTTGCCAGAGTCTTCTTCACGAAAGTCGAGTTGCTTGGGCGTTTTATTGATGGGAGAGTGTAACCAGTAGGAGGACAGGGGTTGGCTTGAGTGCCGGCAAGGAGAGTCGTAATGACTATGAGTGGTAATTTATACAGCATTTCGAAAAGTGCAGGGCGTGCTATATGAAATCGGAAGACTGCGGGTGAGATGGTGTTTTTTTCTGCTCGTTCCCTGTGAGATCTCGACTCCTATATATGGGTTCTTCGAGGTTATCATATTTTACATCCCCATGAGCTTTGATGTTGACAAGCGCCGGTAACCGCGAGGAAGAATACTTGATACCTTTCCGACTAGGGCTCAGCCACGAGACATGGACGCCGCTGAAGTTGCTGGAGCTCTCACAGCCCGACATCACCAATCGCATTCACTTGGGAACTCTTAAGGAGCAACATACACGTGCGTCTTTGCTCTCAAAGGAGCCGCCTAGCAGACGCCATCGTGAACAGACTGCGCCCGGCGTCTTTGGCGAAATAAGGTTAATTCTGGATGAACAGCCTGTTGGCGTGCAGTGCTAGACTTCTGCTATGGAGCTAAGAGCAGCTAAGAGCACGGGCGGGGCTGATGAGCTGCGGCCCTGCTGCTTGGTTGGCATTTGTGGTGGGTTTATCTCAAGGCAGACAATAAAATCCAGCTATAGCTTGCTTGTTTTATGCTTGGACAAGCTGAGTCGGCTTATTCGGCAGTGATCTTCATAGGATATTGTTGATAATTTAGAACCTGGTGATGTAGGTGGTGAGATTTGGCGGAGGCGCGGAGTGAAGACTCGTGGCAGGAGCTTGGGCCCTGTAAGCACGGCATTTGAAGCGCAGAAGACCCTCCCGAAAGCTGCGATTGGTTCGCTCGCAAAAAGTCCGAGCTGTTTGTTCATTGACCAATGTTGAGCTTGAGTCACTAACAATTTAAGACTCGTCCCTGTATCTTGATCACCATTTGGGGGCGGTTGTCGGGCGCATTTTCTGCACAGCCAGACGCGCCAGGGTGCATGTCCAGCCTGGATGCTCCCTGTATTGGCCAGACTTGCGACTTAAACGGCAAACCTGCAGCCCTCGTGGACTGGATGGCCACTCAGCAGGGCTGAAGGACTAGGTCCCATGTCGAAATGATCGTCCCAGGCTAGGCAGAGACATTCTCTCGCCTCCTGTTCGACAGCTCCACTAGGGAGAGAGCTTTATCATGCTCTACACCTTTTGCTGTTTATTGAGGGCAAACGCAGCGGTATCCATCATGGCCGGGCACTCGACGAAGCATACTACTACGAAGTAAAGTACCATTCTAATGCTACTATGACAGTCACCTGTAAAGTGGTCAATTCCCACTCAATTCAACCCTCTCCAACCCAAACCATGTCATCTTCCACTACAAGGAATGCGATTCATCATTCCAAAGTCCCGAAATCAGGAATCCACGCCAAAGTAGACTGGAAGCTCAAAACTCAACACGCATCACGGCATCCTGAACAATACCATTCGTAAACGTGCCAAGCCACAAAACAACCCCCTGCGTCAGCCCCCCGTGGTCTCAACCTCGTGATTGCCCGCCTCGGACTACCAACTCGGACTTCTCAATAGCGCGCTGAATCACCACAGCCTCGCCTCATGGACCTTGCGGCCACGCAAACGCAAAGCCACTTACGCCGGCTAGCGGCCAACGACAAGAGCCGCGCTTCCGCTCCACCGGCAAGACATACAATTACCGAGCCTCAGACTGTTTCTACCTCGACAGATCAGCAAATGACGGACCCTGACAGCACTCCGCAGGCGTCTCTGCAGCCCCCTGCCCCATCTTCCGGCCGCAAGGGGTCTAAGAAGGTTCGGACTGGATGCGTCACGTGCAAGTTGAGTCCGACCTCTCCTCTCCTGCCACAAGGGCACCTTGGAATCGCTTGCATACTGATGCGTCTGCAGAATCCGGAAGGTGAAATGCGACGAGACCAAGCCTGCATGTCTCCGCTGTACCAAAACGGGGAGGAAATGCGACGGCTACCTCCCTCAAAAGCCGGCCAGCAGCAATGATGATGCTGGAAGTCCAGGCTCAGAAGTTGCTCGCCTGACCCCTCCCATATCACCTTTCGCCGACTGGGCTGGCGGGAGTCGGGAACAACGCGCCTTTGACTTCTACCGCAACTTCTCTGCGCCGGCCATCTTCAGCGACGGATCCGGTGGTTCGACCCTGTGGAAGAAGCTTGTCCCGCATTTCTGCCATGCTGAGCCAAGCATCCGTCATGCCGTGCTAGCCATCAGCAGCCTCCACGAGTCTCTGTCACAGGAGAAGTCTGCCGACGCTGGAGACACCACATCATCCCCGAAATGGGCCGGCGTGCTCTCAAACACCTTCGCATCAGAGCAATACGGCAAGGCACTCAAGCATCTACAAGAATGGAAGCCATCCGAGTCCGCAGGGGTCACGGTCCCGCTTCTAGCATGTCTCCTCTTCATCTGCATCGAGTTCATGCTTGGTGATGAGAGAGCGTCGCAGGTGCACATCAACCAGGGCCGGCTAATTTTGGCGCAGCTTGATTCGTCAATAGCTGGAAACGACGTCAGCGTTATCAAGAAGCACTTTGTACCCATTTACAGCCGGCTAAGTCTTGCTTCGTTTTTGTTTGGGAGCAATCCCGCTGAGATACCCTCGAACCTGCGCTCTAGCTCCGCTACCAACTTGTACTTCGCGTCAGTCGACGAGGCAGAAGTCGCGCTGTACGAACTCATTGACGATGGACTCCGTTTCAGCAACATGGCTAAAGGGATAGTGTACTCCCGTCCAACAGATGACCCGCAACTTCAGACTCTCCAGCAACAGCAAGGGGAGATTCTGGCGAAGTTCAACAGGTGGCATGTTGCCTTCACAGTGATCTCAGCAGTGGAAGATGCGAAGAGGGCCGGGAAGCTCTGCTTGCTGTACTACCATACAGCCAAAATATGGATCAGCACCGCCATGTCCCCCCTTGAGACGGCGTATGACGACCATATTGCTTCCTTTGCCGCCATTATTCATCTTTCTGCCGAGTTCGTGCACTCTTCAAAGAAATATGTCAGGGATCCCTCCAAAGCAGCCATGTCGACACCCAAATTCGTCTTCGATACAGAGGTCATACCCCCGCTGTACTACACCATCACCAAATGCCGCCACCCCATGTTGCGACGAGCAGCCGCCGATCTCCTAAAACAGGAAGCTGTGACGAAACGAAGAGAGAACCTGTGGGATGCGCACATGTCGGCCGAGATAGGCAAGCGGATTATTGCGATCGAAGAGGATACCGGTCGCCGCGACGCACCTGACTTGGGAACTATGAATTGGGACGCTATCTCATGGACGGGGTCCGAGGAGCTCGCAAATCTCCAAGCGCCGGCGGCCGGCTTTCCCAGCGATACATCAGTGCCCTGTACGCAGCGCCCGTGGATTTCGAGAGAAACGAATCACATGCTCAATGAGCAATACGAAGCAGTAACCGACATTGCTCGGAGCAGGCAGACGACGCCAGGTTCGGTGTCCGCGGGGTCATCCACAGGTTCGTTGAGTAGCAATACCAGCTGGGGATCGATGCACCTCGAAGCACCGTTCAACTTGCCCGAGTTCGCAAGAGTCAAGAACGTGCTGATTGATAATGAGACGGCCCATGGGAGTTGGTTAACTTTGTTTATGGACCCGGAGGAAGCAGGTGCCCAGAGTTGGAAAGTCACAAAGGAGTTTGTAAGGGCTTGAGGCGGTGCTTAACCGCGAGTCAACCAGCTTCATAGATCTTCATGTCTAGGAGCTATTCTTTCAAAGCAGCAAACTGGCGTTCTTGAAGTTGGCATGTTATGATTGATCTTGCGATTCGGTCTTTTTCGAGTAGGAAAACTGCTGGCCTTTTTCCGAAATTAACATGAGTGTAGTGTTAAGAACCATAGGATCCAAAGAATTTGTTGTAAGATATTTGCTGATTACACCTTTTCCGCTTTTCTGGACTGATGGTTACTATTCGTGCGATCCCTCTCCAGCATGAGGTTTGTCCGGAGACCAGGTAATATGCTTGTCCTTCCAGTACCCCTGCTGGTACCAAGTCCATCCCAAGTATCTGAACTTCAGTTCTACGAAATCCATGGATGCGTATCCCAGGTCAATGAAGGCATATCGTCGGTCGAGCTTCCATGCACAATCAATCGACTCTTCAAGTCCTCGGCAGTTTGTACTACAGTCCAATCCGTGGCACACAACCTCAAAACGACGGCCTGATGACTCACCGACTCTCGGTGTCGAGCCTTTATGAGAAGGATCAGATTTCTCTCTTTTCTTCATATGCTCCAGAATTAGGCCCGGCTCGATGACCGATGAATGTTGCAGTCGACCGAATAGTGGATTTTCCAGTCGACGCCAGGTTTGGCCTGGCTGAATGAACGGTGAAGGCTGCAGTCGAATCAGGCGGACGGTAGGTATCTCCTTGAGCATATGAGCCAGTTCGCAAATGTTCTCTGAGATTTCCGGACCTCCCCAGGTACGCGTGTGTATGATCATGACTTGCTGAAGTTGACGAAAGCGCTGCCTGAACGCATTTGGTAACCCAGATTCCCAGAGAGGGAAGTAATAATTCGCATGCACCTCTATGTCCAAGCTCCTGATATATGGCAACATTTCCGTAGCGCATCCCACGGATCGGGAAAGCCCTGATGGGTCCAGGTGGAACGACGGGCGATTCAGTGTTCCGATATCTTTCCTGTAGAATTGATCAGAGGGCCCCCAGTTGAAGGCGAGGACAATCGTGTTTCGACGACCAATGAAGTCCAGAGCCTCTTCTCGCGTTTGTCGGCATATCTCAAAGAAGGGCAATTGGACGGCGTCGTGATGCGAATACCTCGCTACCAAGCGAAGTCCGCTAGGAAGCATACCGGTTGCTTCATAAATCAAGTCGCGTATCTCGCGCGGAAGGCCTAGGAATGAGCATCGTGGATGACATACTGTGAGATGCTCCTTTGTTGCGCTATCCATCTCAGTGTTGTCAATGAACGCTGGCGAGTCTGTCAAAACCTCATGGGAAATAGTCTCGTAGAGTTTGCTGGGTATGAATTTTCTGTTATTTTGCTCGATGTGTTGGCGAGGGTGGTTGTGGGTGTTTCATTCGCAGACGGATTGAGATTGCCTAGAAACAGGCAACTTGCCAAGGACGAAAACCTTGATCAAAGCTGATTTCTAGGAGTGCAAACTTAGTTTGTAGTACCGTATTGAGGGACATCAATGTCCATGCCCATGTTCATTGGCCACCGCTTTGGGTTGGCTGGAAGGTGACATGAACCCCCTACCCTCCACTTCAAAGGCTCCAGAGCAGGCTTGGCAAGGACAGCACGCAAGCAAAGCATGGTAGTGATGAAGAATTACGAAACTCGATTTTCTGTCTACCATGACGCCATGCCATGACCCAAGTAAACAGGTTGAGGCCGCGCGCGACCCAGAACTACCAGAAAGCCACTTGTCCCCCGACCCTGATTTGGTATACATTTTGACAAAAGCAAATGAAGCAACAAGCCCAGCATACGTGCCAGGGAAATGTACTCACACATGGAACTGAAATACCGCAAACGCCAACGCGGTCTTCAACCAAACCCATTTTCAGAACCCTGAACTACCAGCTCTTCCCCCGCTGACTTTGGTGACCCGTAAACCATCCACACATCGTCTTGACCGGCCTACCAGAAGCTGCACCATCCTATGTAATGCTGACAAAGGTTCTCCAGTTTCGTCGCCTCGGTAATGAGCTTGTTGACCTGGTTAATGACATCCAGCTCCTCATTGGGCTTGAAATCCTTGCCCGTCAACTTCTGTGACACACGGTCCAGCACTTCGACTGCCCTCGCGTTCTGGATCTCGGTGGGGTCTTGACCGTTGTTACCGTTAACGACACTGCCTTCATGAGCCATCGACGAGTTTGTTCTGGAACGAGAGCGCGCGACCGGTCCTCCGCCAGGCATTCCGGGTTCGGCTGCGAGGAGCTCCGATGGTGCAACGTCGGCTTCAAGGACGGAGGGTCGGCGGGCGCGGCCGCCTTGGGGCCCTGCAAGAGACTGTTCGCGTTCAGATCTGAAGTTGGGTCCCGCTGGGCTTGCAGCATTCGTAAGACGCCAAGTGAGAAGGGGATCATGGATGAACTGCACAAACTGTTAGTCAAATACCACCAAATGAAATCAACCGAACTTACCGCCTCCAAGACAGCCATGACGCTGTCCTTGTTGTCTCTCAAGACCCTCATGACATGCTCGCAGGTAATACGGAAGCTTCCCTCGATGTTGCTCACTTCCATGGCGTAGGTGAGCATACGGGTAAGCCGGAAGGGCACCCTCTCGGGATACTTCTCACGCTTCATGGCCACCTCGAAACAGTCACCGAAATCGATGTGGATGATCTTGCCAGTCACGCGGTCCAGCATAAGGTTAGACGGGTGACGATCTCCGAGACCAAGGATGTATCCGACCATCGACATGACACCGAGAGACCGGGTGTAGTTGGTACGACGTTCAAGCCATGCTTCAGAACTCTTACTCTTGAGCCACAGAACACGGTATAAGTCTTGGCCGGTGGTGTTATCAAGCGCATAACCAAAGACCTCAACCTTCTGCATAAGGGTAAGATTGTCGTAGTCGGGAGCCATCTGAAGCATGATGCGATGCTCGATATTAAGGAGGATCTTTCTGCTTTCGCGGTACTCTCGGATGAGGACGTGGAGGGTGTCACTGTTAGGTACCCAACCCAGCAGACCGGAGTTCTGCGAAAGTGGAATCGCCGGGTACCGCTGGATGTTGAGGTGACGCTTGTAGCACTCGGAATCGTTCGCCAACAAGGTGTTGCACAGACCGAACAACTGCATAACTCGTTCGTCCTGGCGGATATCCTCGTGACCCTTGAGCAGGAAGGCGTAGGACACACCGTCGCTGCCACTGATGTTGAGTTTTCGGGGCCGCTGTTTACTGTTAATAACCGTGAAGGTACCCTCAAACTCCATGATGCGGACAATGGGCTGGCCGCTGCGGTAGGTGCCGGGAACTGCCAGGTCCAGGTCCTTGGCGGCAAGCAACTTCGGCGAACAGTAAGGCAACTCGAGCGTAGTAAGCTGGGGTAGCTGTCGCGAGATGCGCCGGAATACCTGATAGTAGAGATCCCAAGCTTGGTTGAGGTCGTTGACATCTCGGCTGGCCTCGTACTGTCTGCACCACTCGCGTGCTTCAGTAAGGTCTCTGCCGAAAGCCTGGGTGAAAGAAATCTCGCGCAGTGTTTCGGGTCCCCGCTCAAGCTGATCGTGGAGAGGCTCGAGAGTGGCAAACATGCCCTCAATGTTGTGGTCGCCAAAGTAAAGTCGCGATGCTTCCTCGAGTCCCTCATGCCATTGCTCATGCCAGAGGACCGCGACCCTGATAAGTTCGTGGCTGACAATGTCGGCTTGAGAAACGAGGTTGGCGCTGTGTTGACGCATACTATCCATAATCTGAGCAGCGGATCGCGATCGACGAGTGTTCTGGGATGACTTCATGGCGACAGTCAATGGATACACCAGAGCCTGCGGGTGGGCTCTACCAACATCCGCCAAGAGACTATGGATCGACTGTTGCACGCGGCGAGTGGGCTGGTTGATACGGGCAATAAGCTGAGGGATGACCTCCAGCCATGTATCGACGCTGACATTCGTGAAGCCTTCGGTGACGGCGGCATTAACGTCGGCACTGGCGCCATGTGTGAACCACAAAGTCAGAAGACGGAGTGTATCCTGGAGGGAGCTTCCAGCAGACAGCGCTATCGACTTGAAGAAGCCGCGGACAGCCGGAACAACGTGCTCGATGACCATATGATCAGTCCTTTCGCCTCTAGTTGAAAGAGCCTGAACAATCTCAAAGTTGGCTAGGGCCCATGCGTGCCATGCCTTGTACCACCTCGGGTTATACTTCGTCGCCTGAGAGTACGAGGTGAGAATGTCCTGGACGTGCTCATACTGCCAGTTCTCCTTGTTCAGGGCAATCAGCCACTCGCCTTGGCGGAGGTAGCACTTGGCCAAGAGAACCGTCTGGTCATACAACGCCTTTTGAGTCTGCGGGTTCATGAGACTGGGGTCGATCTGGTGAGGGAAGCCGTAGTCGCTGGTCAAGTCCATGCCGTTGGGTGCCTGGGCAGTGAGGTGGGCCTTTGTCGCCTCGTAGCGATGCGCTGAATCGTTAGTAAACTTGCGCAGGCAGTAGAGAGTCCTCTCGGAAATTCCTGATGTGCGGAAAGCAGGTTGCTGGCCGACCTCCCACTCGTACTTGAGCATGGCGTAGATGATCTGCGAAGGGATGTTCCGGGGCAGGCCGACATTGGGCTGCTGCGGTCGCTCGTTCCAGTAGGGAATCAGCGTCTCCAGAGGAGCCTCTACGCCAATGAGCTGCTTGAGAGACTTCTCGGCGAGTCCCATGCGACCAGATTTGCGACAAAGGTTGGCGAATTTGATCCACATGTGCATGTTCTCCGCGGGGGTAATAACCAACGCACGAAGGCGAAGCATCCTTTGCCAGACCTCGACATTGCGTTGACAGCCCTTGAGTCTCGTCTCCCATGTGCGGCGCATGGTCGCCTTCTTCTTCTCGTCTGTTTGCTTGTACACAATGAGCTCCTCGAGTTCGGCCAGCATCTGCACTCTGACGACGACTTGGTATGCGCGGTTGTATGATTCGCTGACGAGGGCACTCAATTCGGTATCCAGACCTTCG